AAAAAAAAATCATGGTGCCGAATTCAAACAGACTGGGCTCTTATTCTAATGGAGACAGTTACATATCCTCTCAGAATCTCAGCTCCTCATCTGTAACAGCGGGAATCGTAGAACCTTCTCTTTGGGTATAAAGTAAAGATGAAAAAAGATGATTCTTAGCACAGTGCCTGGTTCCATAGGTGGATTATCTCTGTCTGCTATCTATCTATCTATCTGCAAATACATGGCATGTTTTAAAATTTTATCTCAAATTCCACTGGAATCATTATGATGCTCAGGAAATTATGCAAGTATTTAGCCAAGAACCAAGGCAGAATGGCAGTAGTAGTGTAGACTTTCTCAGAGATTTCTGGGTTCAGAATGTGTGACAATTTAAATGGAAATGTATTTAAAATAAAAGAATTCATTTGCAGGAGTCACAGCTTTTCTTTCCTAGAGTAGCAGCCTTTTGCATCTTTTTTTTTTTTTAGCTACTGTAATTAAACTGAACATTTAATTACTAATAATGCCACTAGACAGAAAGCATAAGTCCACAAAAATGCCATCTGCAGAGCCCTGTCGATGCTTGAAGCACAGCCTGGGTAAAGGTTGTCTGTATCTCAGGCCCCAGCATCCTGGTTTGCACGTGGACCTCTGGCGGCACCCGGCCACCTCCATACTGGTGGGCTGTGCAGACCCACCCATGGACTGTTTCTCTGTGCCCTTTCAGGAAGCTGGGAAATGAGGAAGGGGGAGGAGGAAACGTCTTGAGGGCAGGGAAGATGTAATTATGATTATGATTGTGATTGAGATCGGATATGTCTAGAAGAGATGTTGGACATACTGAACTTCAAACCCATCTTAGACCTTAAGTTTTAGGTTCGTTTCACTTTTATTTTGTCCCCTCCAGCAACTCTCCTCCTTGCTGCCAATGGGACCTTCTTAGCCTGCAAATCACCAGGCCATCTCCGTTCATAAAGAGCCTTTCATGGCTGTTACTTTTTGAGGCATGAACCGTGGACAGTTTTCCCCTTGGAAAAATCCATAAACATGCATAAATTGCAGGTAAAGAACCCCTGGATTATAAGGTACAGTCTGAACTCTCTATTGTTAGGACATAGCTCTTGGAGATCTTCCCTGGCCACCCTCAGCTGTCTTACTGCCATCCTTTCCCCTTATTTTGCAACTACTTGGAGCTGCATGCCCGTTAAGAGGATAGCTAAGATTCTAGTTCCATGCCTTACCGTATTAGATGTAAGCTATTTTTACCTCTCTGTGCCTCCGTTTCCTCATCTCTAAAATGGACATAATAATCGCATCTACCTTATAAATGATTGTGTACATTAAACGAGCCCATACATTAAAAAAAAAACCCCGAGGTCCTGACTTGGCACAGACTACGCATTCAACAAACACGGGCTGTTTCTGTTAATGACTTAGTTTGCTATCTTTTCTCCTATATATAATCCCCTCACTCTAGACGACCTTTCTAACGTCTCAACCTCAGCTCCTCTTCATGGGTTCTAGTTCCTCGTTCAAGATTCAGCTCACGCTTCGGCACTTGTGTGAAGACTTTCAGCTCCCGAACAACGGCCCATCCCTCTTGCCTTTAACTCTATCAGTTTGTCTTGCAGTAGACCTAGTTTGTATCTTAGACATATGCATCGATGCTGCATCAGGGCAGCAGCTGCATTGCTTTTGTTTGCATATTCCCTGATTTTTAAACCAGGGCCTGGAGTATGAGAGGCCCCAACTAAGTACTTAGTAAGTGAATGAATGATTGAATGAGTGAATAAGTCCCTTCTCTATCAGGAAGAAAAAGCCTCCTGTGACTTGAACACAAGGTGTGTCTCATTAAGTACTTATTGCTAATTTGGACTTGGCATTTGCTCCACAATGCCTTCTGCCTTGATCTGAACTAGGCTCACCCTCCTGTTATTTTTGCTCAAATGACAGTCATCTTTTGCGATCCTTTAGATTAAAAAAATTGGTCAATTTTATATCTTTATTAACATTTTAAGTGTAAGCCCTTCTTCAAAGCACACTCAGAAGTTCTGGAACCAAACAAGAAGAAACCCTTTCAAAGTCAGAGGCCTTTCTGATAACTTTGCTCTCATGCAAAGTCCGGCAACTTCCGGCTCACCCCTTCTGCCTCATCACATGAGACACACAAGAACAACACGGACACAATTCTCTCCTCTGTCTTGGCTGATACATGCTCGTCAAAGAACACACATTTCTCCATAGGGGAGAAAATGGGGGTGGGGGTGGAGGAGAGAAATGAACAATGGAAAAGAAAGATTCATTTGGGTAACTTTTAAAAAACAAAATGGAAAACATGTGGCGCCAAATCACTGGAATCCTGAAACCCAAAATGAAGTGGCGCTCCGGAGCACACGGGAACTCTGTGCCTGCAAAGCTTATACGGAGGTTCTGCTCTATCCAGGCCAATATCCGATGGGCAGGAGATCTAGTTAGACAGCACAAATTAACTCCTTAAGTATTATTGCAACTCCACATCAGTCTCTGGGAGTACATACCTTAAGGAGCTATTAAATAACAGAACAACAGAAACAAAAACTAAAGATAACTCAACAGTCCTGATAGGTTAGAAGGCATATACAATTGGTTCACCTGCGTCCTTCTGATTCTCTATATGAAAGAGAGAGCACAGCAGGGAGAGAAGAGAGAGAGAAACAAGAACACATATGCAGGATTAATGAGCAAGCGGACCACAATGCCCCCCACTTATGCGTGATACATGATACTGAGAAAAAAAAAGGTTGCCCGTGGGTCCCCACCACCCGAAGTGTGGGGGGCAGCCAAAAAAGGCTCCTTCACAGAGGTGAAAAATGCTGCACAAATAGAAAATTAGTAAAATCAAGTTTAATGTGAACTCAAGCTATGAAGCATACATGAACTCTCCAAGTGACAATTAAGTCATATGTTCTAGCCAGCGCTTAGAGGACAAGGACAGGTCAAAGTCTCCAGAGAGAACAAGGGAACACGTCCCTGCTTGAGAAAGGAAGGACAGGAGGCCACAAGACCTGATTTTCGTAGAGGATGGACCCCGTGGCGTGATCTCATACCCATAATCGTTTCTGATGTCTTAAACGTGGAAAAGAAGGCCGGGGCTTTGCCCCCAACGTCCGTGATCTGACACCTCACGCATGGTCCCCCGGCCTAGCTGCTACCTGTGGATTGTGTACCAGTGACAAGCACTTTACAAATTGGGGTTTACACACAAGCAAAGTAAAAATGCATTCAGGTCACAGACAGAGAAGAACTGAAAAACTGACAGACAAATCGGAGTTTATCACAAACAAATGGCTTAATTGTCTAACCTGTTTTAGGCTGATAAAAAGTGACTGGACTTCTCACACTGGGTTTTCACAGACAGAACCAACAGACAAGCCAATGCTAAAAAACTTGAAGCAAGGAGAGTGAGTTGGTTTGGATCTGGATTTTCTTGAAATCATGGAAACAGAAAGAGTGAGGACAGCATGGCGAGGAGGTGGTAGGTACTCACGAATGGTTAAATCCATCACTTGGGAGGCCAAGCAGAAGACAGGATGCTCATACATTTCTCTCTTTTTCCCTATAAAAGAGGATTTGGGCATGCAAGAGGCTTAGGTCAGAGGTAAAGAGGTTAAAGGTCATAGGTCAGAGGAAAACGTTACATTAGCTCAAAGGAAAATAGCCACAGAGTATTTTGGGATCAACACAGGATAAAAGAAAAAAGGAGTTCCAAAATTGGAGCTCTACTGGATTAACCATTCAGCATGCCGTGAGTCACGAGAGATTGTGACCATGACTTTACACGTCTCTTTAGAATTGTTTGCAAGAATACAATGACCAAAAAACATCATGAGTAAAGGGAAACAGAATTTTATCGATTTAAGGCTCCAAGATACTAAGGGTTTCAGACTTTAGTATCTAAGGCTCTTGAGGTATTTCTTCATAAACATAGTCTCCAGCAATATTACCACAACTTCTTTCCAAAATTCTCAGGTAGCTCAGCTGTCAATGCTCACAGAAGGGACTCGAATGGCAGGGTGGACGGTTTCTTTCCCGAGGGAAGGATTGGAACCTTGTAAAAGAAAGTTGTCTGGTAGTCATCTCTTTAAAGCTGCAACGCCTCAGCCTACAGTGGACTATGTTCATGAAAGAAAACCTGGTACATGCAGCCAGAGGATGTTGGGTTGTCTGAACGAACAATCCCAGCATGCTTTGAAATTGGTGTCACAGCCACTTTTGCCGAGGTAACATCAAAACGTGGCTGAGCCAATCACGGACAAGGAAGGAGAGAAGCGGAAGAGAGCAGGTAGTGTGGAATGAGGTACTTCTCTGAAAAGAGAGTTGGAAAAAAAGGGTTGGCTTCTTCAAAGACTCCCCAGACCTAAAAGTCACAGTGCAGAGGCTAATTAACACAACCAAGAAGAATTGAGGCACAAAAGGAAATTACAGACTAGCTGATCTACTTTGGAAATGAATGCATTTTTACTTACAGATCTTAAGTTTGGTTTTGGGCTTTGTTTTGGATAGATTTATCGGAAAGAAGAGAGCAGCTCTTACCAGACCCCCAAGGCAGCAGCCATGGCAACCGAACGTTTCGTCATGATCCCAGCCCATGTCTGTCTGGCCTTGCCTAGAATCACCAGGTACCCAGTTGACTTTACCAAATGCAACCAATGACTGCGTCCTGGGAAGGTGACTGCCGGAACAATGATTGCCTAATATCGCCCTTCCCCGCTCTTCTTGTTCCTCTGGGTTTTTTGTCACTCATTACCAAGTCAAGAGTTGATAAACATCCTTTTAGTGCCCAATTCTTAAGTGTTTCTCCCTGGATGCATAACAATGAATTCATTACCACTGGTACACAATTTGCATTGTCAGACAGACACAATTGTAAAAGGAGGACATGTAATGTACAGAACACTGCTAATTTGAAGCGGCCGTCGCCTGATTCTCTAAGGAAACGGGGGCTTTGGCAAGGTAAGTGATGGGGCTTGATTGGCTAGGTTTTGTCTTGTGTTTTGTTTGTTTTTCTAGTCGTGTGCAGAGGGCCAGCAATGTGCATTTGTGAGAGTTAGTCAGAAGCAGGTTTCACGTGTGAGAGGCCATTAGATTCCAGAACACGACACATTGTGAGAGCTTTGCACACAGAACTGTCACATTGAGAGACACTTACACCACTGGTCAGGTTGGGTGTGGCTTTCAAATCACCCTCTAGCAGCCAATAAGGTAACAATGAAAAGTGATTAATACCTGTGTGGACATCTAGGGCTCAAAGAACCACCTCTTCTCAAGTAGAGTTTATTCAAAGGGCCTTTGGGGTAACTACTGGGCCATCAGTTACCACCTCCCTAAAACTTGAGAGGGCAGTGATAAAAACCCATCAGAAAAGGGAGACAGAGAGACTTCCCCAAGGTTAGCATAATAAGAACAAACGATGTCTAGATTCAACCCTGGACCCACCAGACATGGCATTTGCCACCAACCTGCCATCGAGTTGGAAATACTATCAGAAGGTATACTATTTTCAAGGGAACAGAAAGAGTTAATCAAAACCCCAGTGCTGCTTTGTTGAATTCTTGTTTTCTTATCAGTGCTACCAATCATGGATAACAAACAGTTCCATTGTTTTCCCTCCATTTAAACAACGGTAGCAAGCGTACAGAACCCTTTCCATAGGAAATACATTGACCACCGGCCAACACAGACTCTCAGAAGAAACTTAATCTGATAACGTCCTACATGCAATATTCTTCTCCCCACAAAAATCGTTTCCGAACCCCTGTTCTTTAATGCAATGGTGTGAATTAAAGCCATGACCAAGGAAGCCTCCATATGTCAAGAGCTTCCTGGTTTCCACTTCACATCACATACTCAGATGGACCGAGTTCTGGTGCCCATCAGAAACGAGAGAGACTTCCCCAGGGAGACATACTAAGATTCATATTCAAAACTGGGCACAGCAGGAAGCCTTACCTTCGATTTTGGCATACTCTGACAGTCGAGAGTAGTTGACTAAAGCGGCTTGCTCTAGACATTTACGGATGACCGTTTTTACCTCCTCCTGTGGAACTGGGGTAACAATATCTTTCATCAGAACCTTTAGGCAGGGGGGAAAACAACAGGATTAATCAGAAGGGTCACACAAATATATGGCTCATACATATTTCTCAGAGGCTCAAGTTTAACACAGGTGGTAGGTAAATGCTTCTTTGGGATGTCACACTGATTCAGAGCCACTGTGAATGAGAGAGATCACCAGAATGCAATGCATGTCCAGCCTGGCAAAGCCCAGTCCAGTATCCGGGTGAGGGGCCAGTCTTCAATATACCCAACTGCTTGGGAGTAGGGGTGGGTCTAGCTGGAATTTTCGCAATTGCCTCACTTTCCCTCTGGCATGGGATGGACTGTAAACGAATCCTTAAGAAATGACACACTAGGTCGTTGAACTACAATATTTCATTACAATTATGACCATGGGTCCTTAGATACGCAACCTGCCTTTTGTATCCATTCTTACCCTTTCCAAGAGTGAGAGAGTAGCTTTTAAAGCACCTTCCGGTCGGCCAAATGGAAAGCAATACCTACAAAAGACAAGAGTCTTCAGGTTACCCAAATCTACTCCAGGTCGTGTGAAATATGCTGCAAGTTGCTTCCCATAGCAACTCTCTCCAAGGAATGGGAGTTACTTTTTCATTTGGTTGCATTGTGTCATGTCGATGTGCATTCACTCCATACACATGTGGAGATAGTCTATGGGTGTGTGTGAGTAGGGAGTCTGCACACGTCTGCAACAGAAAGGGGTATTTAGAGGGATGGCGTAAGGTTCTGTTTAGACTTCTACTGTGAAGGAGAGCCATTGTTAACCCAAATCAAACCTTGCTTCTTATTATAGATACCAGCATTAAAACATATTGGTCAACACAGGCTGAAATTCAAACGCACTTACATCTTCAAAGGATGACAATATAAAATAGAGGAGTGCATTTACAGCCAATTCATGATTCTTTGCTTGTGGTCTAGAATTGCTATCAGACCTTTTGTAACTGACAAAGCACCTTACATATAGGTCACGGAGTAATTCATTAAAATGTAATGCAACGCAACGCAATGTAACAAATGGGTGATCTGCCAAGGCTTAGCCAAGAGGAGTTTGCTGGCACAGATAGACTAGGGCAGGCACCCCTGGAGCTCTGTTGACTGTTCCAGGCTGACCCTCCTCCTTCAGAGCACTGCTCCTCCAGGGAACGGAGAGAATGGCAAAGGATGCTTAAACTCAACTATCTGCTGCTTGCACTTGCCTGCTGGCCCCCTCGGGCAAGTTACTTAACTCCCCTGAACCTTAGCCCACTCCTGTTCAACTGTGGGTTCTAATAACTACAAAGTTACGAACAGTTTTTAAAGTCATGAATGTCTGATCAGCTTCTAGTCCAGTAGATGGCACATGAACTGCAGAGTCAGCAGCCCAAAGCCACCCGCCACTCTGGGTGAAGGAGAGGCCTTCTACTCCTGTGAAGAATTGCAGTCTCAGAATCCCACTGGGGTGGTTCTACTCCGCCCAGGAGGGTCACTGTGAATCCGATGCGACTTGATGGCAGGGAGTTCAGTTTTTGAGTTACTCTTTACTTTGGAGACCTAGTGACATTGTTGGGTAAGCATTGGATTGCTAACTGCAGGGATGGTGATTCAAACCCACCAGCCACCCCGCAGGAAACAAGACGAGGCCATCTGCCCTCACAAGGATTTACAGCATCAGAAATCCTCCACAGAGTCACTGTGAGTTGACTTGGTGGTAGTTGGTTTGGTTTGGGTATTATTACTCTGGTGACAGTTGTTGCTGTGTGTCCTCAGCTGACTGACTCACAGGCACTGTATAAGGCCGAGTGTTTGACAGTTTCCTACATGCATTCAGAGAGGGATTGGTGAGTTCTAGCTGCAGACATTCCAGGCAGCAGCTGAGCACTTCATCATTGCACCACTGGGGCTCCAGCGTAACACTCCCATGAAACCCACTGCCAATGAGTTGATTTGGACTCATAGTGATCCTTCTGAAACTGTAAATCTCTATAGGTGGAGACAGCCTTATCTTTCTACCTCGGCATGGCCAGTAGGTTTGAACCACAGACCTTTGGGTTAGCAGTCCAGTGCCTAACCCCTAGCACCACCAGGACTCCTTGGCACAGGCTGTGCTGTGGAAGACCAGCTCTGTGATCTGCCGGCTGTCTGTAGCTCAGGCAGAGCCAGGGCTCTTCCTCCACCAAGCCAGCTAGAGCTATTTCTGAGAAGGAAGGTCATGGAGGAGGTGAAGACTCTCCACGGGTCCACTGCCATTCTGCCCTTTCCATTGTGATTTGATTCATGGGTATTTTATTTTATTTATTTTTTTTTCTTGATTCATGGGTATTTTAAACCACTTTATTCAGGGAGCAGTAAAAAGCAAAAACCAAACTCACAGTCATTGAGTCTGTGCTGACTCATAGTGACCGTCTAGGACAGGAGAACCGCCCCTGTGAGTTTCTGAGACTGAACTCTTTATGGGAGTAGAAAGCCCTGTCTTTCTTCTGCAGAGTGGCCAGGTGGTTTCAAACTGCTGACCTTGTGGTTAGTAGCCCCATGAGTATCCACTATGCTACCAGGGCTCCTGAGGGAAGTGGAAGGAGCTTCAGACGCAGCTTTGTATAATGGATTGATGAACAAGGACAGTTTGTGCAAGGAAGGTTTTTTGTGGGGTTTTTTTTTAGTGGAAATTAAGAAAGCAAAATCGATTGCTATTTGTTGACCCTTGTTCCCTTGCTCTGTTTTCCCTGTTGATACATAAATGTCATTGTGGCCCCAATATATTTACAGCTTTTGAGAATAAAGATCTTTATTTGTCCCTCCCAGCCTCCAACCTTCTGAAAAGCCCCTAAACACAAGTCCTTACCTAAAATGTGTAATCTGATTTTCCAAAAGAACCCGCAGTCTCTCTTTGATTTCTTCAAAACGTTCTTTTTCTTCAACAGTCACGGTTCCAATTCCGTCGGGCCTGAACGAAGATATGCCATGAAATGACAGGTCTCAAAGGCTGACACTACCAAATCAAATCTCTAGCAAGAGGAGATGATCCATTTAGAAGAAATGGTGACAATGATCGATGTGACCTTAAAAGAAGTCCCACTATTCAGACTTGGCTACTGAAGGGGTACGCATTTGTCTGTTTTGGGAATAACAGTTTGGAGACATTTGGTAGCAGGGTGGTTATGCGTTGAACTCTTAACCCCAAGGTCAGCAGTTTGAAACTACCAGTCACCCCCTGGGAGAAAGGGTCGTTTTCTAATCCAGTATGAGTTACAGTCTTGGAAACCCACAGAGGCAGTGCTATCCTGTCCTTACACGGTCACTATCAGTCAGAAATGACTTGATGGCAGTGAGGTTTGTTTATGTTTGAATCTCATTTATTGTAAAATGGTGATATGTACAACCTGGTGGCTTGCAGGTTAAATCTAGCTTCCAGATTGGTTCTTGTTATCCTTGCAGATTATTACAAAACTTGAATTAATTGCCAATATTTAATGAAAAACCTGAAATCCAACCAAACCCGCTCTTGTCAATTCTGACTCACAGAGGAGCAGGACTACCCCAGAGGGCCCCCACGGCTGAAATCTTGTCACATCTTTCTCCCAAGGAGAAGCTGATGAGTTCGAACCACTGACTCTTTGGTTGGTCACTGAGCTCTTCCACCACGGCACTACCAGAGAGCTTTACACTTCATGAATAGGAACATTGTAATGTCTGCTTTCTCTGGAAAAATCAGACGAGCTGACATTACTTGGCAAGAGCTGGTAGTTTCTTACCTGGGGCAGACACTCACCTGGCCCACCCACATCTCTGATTTCTATCATCTCTCTCTTTCTCTTGTAGGTATCTGATGTTGTGAAGCCTGACTTAAGTACACAAATTACTACGCAAACCAGGTGCCTTGTAAATGCACGCCTTATTGGTTGTTGGCCATTCTTAAATGGCTCAGTTTCTAGAGTGCACTTAGAGATGTTCAGATTCGCTTAAGAACTCTCTGCATTAACTGACGAACAACCCACAGAGGATTTTTAGTCTTCTCCAACTGCCGCTCGTCGTCCTAAAAAGTGCCCTAGCAGGAGTACGTGAATTTCAGTTTAATCACAGGACCCTCATACTTAGGACCCACCATCCATTTCACACCATTTCCTCTATGTTGTTATGAGCCATTCAGGATGAGAAATATAGAGGGACATTGCATATTTATAGCCCAAATTAATCTGTGCCAAATTAGACGCAGGGTAATCTGACCCAGGCGCGATTTCAGCTTCTCAGATCCCACACTGACTTGTTTTGACTATTGGCGGAGCCAGTTTGCAGAATGATGCATCTATGAAGCTTCTATTGGAACATCCTTCAGTTTGCAAATGCAAATCATCTCGAGATCAAATGAGAATCCAGCATAAATTGGGGAACTCCTGTATATTGGGCGGGTCTGACTGCACAAAAGACTTGGCAAATGATTGTCATGTACTTCCTGTTAGGAGTCAATTGGTCACTTCCCTTCTCTTTAAAGCTAATACCCTATTTTGAAAATGGGGACTCTCTCCCCTCCCCTGCTGAACAGAAAGTACCCAACAAACAACCCCCTGGGCCTTCTTCCACTCTGACATAGGGCCCTGGGTTTAAGGAAGGAGGCCGGCGAAATGGTAGCTATCAGGAGAGCTGTTGGAATTTAGGAATGTTAGCCTCATGTTTTCTGGCAAAAATTTGTTACTTTAAAAAAATTATTTTTAAAATTAAAACAAAAAATATATGAAATGTAAAACCTCAGGATCAATCCATCGGCCTCCACCAAGTACATGTGGCCCTTTCTGTGAATTTCTCATGCTTCTGCCTAGCTTGCAACTTCCTGTAATGGTGGCTTCTGAGTTTCGCTTTACGGCCATGCAGTCTGGTAATGCTCACGTTTAGACGTGTGTGTCTGCATACACTCAGTTTTCGGGGTGGGGGTGGGGAGGAGTCATTTTATGCATTCCGGCTCTCAGGAGGGAATTAACACTCAAAAAAAATGCCATTACATTAAGGTGACCAGATTTTAACATTGGTAAAGTGGGACACCATTGATAAAACTCATATCCTGGCGAAATAGCCACATGGCAGCCGAAAACTGTATGCCCTAGCTTGTGCATTCTCTCAAAAAATCGGGACTTTTTTAAAACGCCGCAGGACGCAGGAAAAATGATTAAAAATCGGACTGTCCCGCCAAAAGTGGGACGTCTGGTCACCTTACATTACATAGAACTTATGGTGTAGGGGAAGTCATGGATCCGTATAACATGGGTGATCCACAGACACCTGCTGCTGTGATCAGGAGGCATGCGCCCTCGTTGATAACCCAAAGGAGCCCTCTAAGGCAAGTGGGCATTTAGAAGAAAGCTTTGAGATTTGCACTTGAGATGATAAAAACAGTCTTCATGCTGAGTATTGAGTGTATTCTCAGCCTTCTCAGTTATGTGCGTGGTGCTACAATGTTACAAATGTGAAACTCCATTGTGCTTGTTTTCTCCTTTTTTCCCCTTTGTTCTGACATTAGCAATTCTCCCCGGCATCAGATGGCAACTTCCACTTCCTTGCTAACCTCTCCTTGGATATTTTCTAAAGCTCATTTAAAGGGAGAAAAGTAAATGATTACAAAATTATTTTTATAGACTCTTCTTAAATTGGCTTCTTAATCGCTATGTCATGTGACTGCTTTTGTCTTAAAATAAACAAGACAAACTAAACTTGATACCTTTATAAGGTACTAGTCAAGAGTTCATCAACAACAGGTGATAAAAATGAGTCACAAGGAATGTAACTGTCAGAAGTCTTCTGACAAGGGGAGCTATTTTCCACCCCCAGAAAAAGATGTTGCAGAAAACCCAATTTGTTGGAGGTCACAGGTGGTAATGACATCAATCAAAATGATCTCTTGATTGTTTCAGAAAATTCACCCATCTCCCCCCCCCCCGCCACTGACTCCAATCATTTGTTGACGTTAGCTGCACAGGCAGTACTTCTCAAAAGGGAGTATGCCCCTGAGTCGTTCTGAGGGTGTGCAAAAATCCAGGTTTTGGAGAGCCCCCCCCCCCCCCCCCAGTTTCTGATTCAGTAGGTCTGGCCCTGGGCCTGAGAATCTGCATTTCTAACATGTTCCCTGGTGCTGGTTCCGGGACCACACCTTCAGAAGCAGTGCTTCAGAGCAAGGTGAGTGGCTCTTTCACAGGCAGAAAGGGGATAATTGGCCCCAAACCCCCAGATTGGAGGGCAACTGCAACCAGAGAGCTTCCTCTATGGTCTAATCATGGAACTGCCAGCAATTTCCGAAGGTGGCCACTACCATGTTCCCAAGGTGCGGTGCAAGTCGTGCTGTTGCACAGTAGCTAGTCCAACTGTATCGGTGTCTCTTAGAAGGATGCTTTTGTATTTTTCTGGAAACATTTGGCAGTGATTCTATAATCATCATGAAATTGTATCTTATTTCTTTCTCAGCACTTTCAACACTTAGTGTCACTGAGGGTAAAGCAAGAAGAGGGGTGAAGCTGGGCTTCAGACTTAGAGCTAGAAAATGCTAGGCTCAGATGTAGCTTTACTTAGAACATATGTCTAAGACCCCGAATCCCTTGCCCACACATGTCCTGATGAGTGTACATTCCGTCCCCGCTGTGATTTGGTCTCTGAGCAGCCATTTCCTCTTTTGAGCAGCACCCGGATTTCCTTGGGAGGAATTAGCTCCCATGTACCGTGAGTATTCTTTCAGGAAGGGTACATCCAGAAACCACCTCTCCTATTAATGCTCAAGTGCTTCCTGGAGTCCACTCCTCCCTTAGACAACCACTGCACAGCTGTGCTGGACTATGACCACGTCTTCCTATTGAGGAAATGATGCAAAGATGGAAGAAACAGGGGGAATGTGTCGATCCCAGGAGCTGTGCTCCAACTGTCTTACGAAGTCAGTGGTTCTCAATCTGACTGCACCTGAGAATTGGACTGTTGGTATGATGTAGATGCGGATCCAGTATATTTGGAAGTGCATGTTCTCAGCAGGAAGGTGAACTTACTATCAGTTGGCTGGAAGCTTCACAAAGGTTGCACCCCCGATGCTCTGATTCAATTCATCTGCAGTGGGGCCTAGACATTGGCTTTTGTTTTTAACATTTATATTTCTTTTAGCTAGCAGTTTTTTTGAATTGTAAAGAAAAATCCCATACAACAACATTCAATGTTCACATGCAATTCAGTGGTATGAATTATATAAATTGTGTTGTATAATCATCACCAATGTCAAGTTATTACCGTAAAAAGACACATTGCTTTCTAAACAATGTTTCCTCTTTAGCTCCCCTCCCCCTCCTCCCCCTTGGCAACCTCTCATAAACTTTGGCCGTACACATTTGCCTATTCTAGATAACAGTGAGGTCATACACTATTTGCCCTTTTAGGATTGGCTTATTTAAGTCAGGACAATGTTCTCCTAGTTCATTCATGGTGTAGGCTGGGTCAGGACTGCATTGCTATTTGTGGATGAGTCATAATATTCCACTGCATGTATGCACCACTTTCGTTTATTCACTCATCTGTTGGTGAACATACGGGTTTTTGGGGGTTGTTGTTGTTTTTTTAAACATCCTGGTTTATTCCAATGAGCAGTTTAGGGCTTAGACACCACTGCATTGGCCTTGCTTCGTGAGGCATTCATAGTTGCCTGGGGTACCCCGGTGGCAGAGTGGATTATGTGTTGGGTGCTAACCTCTAGATCAGTAGACCCAAACCACCAGCCCCTCTGAGAGAGAAAGATGAGGCTTTCTATCCCCATAAAGATGTATGAGGGTGTACCCCAAAAAACCCCGAATGTTTTCCAAAGCTCTGTATTTACATTTTCTTACCAAACAGCCTTATCACCTTCAAAGTACTCTACAGTACGCTTAATGCATTTGTGAAAGCTGTGATTCAATTCTTGGAAACATTTTTCAAACTCATTTGTTTGGA